TCACTCCATGCCCGTAGACGTTGACGTAGATTAAGCACAATCATGGCCCAAGAATGGAGCCATGAGGTAAACAACTGGCAACTGGCACTGAAGTGGATTTGACGTTGCCTTTTAGGAAATCTCCTATCCAATTCGCTAAATGTCCGCTTACCCTGGATTGGCCAACCTTGTGGAGTAGCCGTTGGTGTGTGACATTATCGATGGCCTTTTTGTAAACAACATCGACGTGAGTATTATCGTCTAGTGATCTGAACAACTGCTCCATTAAATAAAGCATATTGGTTAGACGGAAGTGGTTTCCTCGAGCATTTCGGCCCTGATTATGTCCTGAAAAAACTGTTGACGAGCGAACGGAACAGCAGCAAGAACATTTAGGTCCACGAGTGAAGACGGACTTAAAGTTTTCGTCGGTCTCCAGTCTGCAGATCTTAAAACAGGGATCAACTACTGAGATATATTTTGTGCTACGTTTGTAGCCATATAAAAGTTTGGGGTGTTCCGTGGAATCTGTAGTATATTAAGCTCGTATTTCTATTGCAGCTTAGTAGATTCACTTTTACGAACGTTTCGTTGTTGCTTGTATTCCCGTAAGTGTTTATCGAACCGGTTAGACTGTAACGCCTCCAAATGTGAATTCTCTTTTCAATGCGGCCTGCAAGTTTGCGTCCATCCATTTTTGGCGGCTTGTATTTTTCTTTCTTCTGAGAGGACAGCTAAGGTAAACACTTACTTTTAATGTCGAGTTAAAGGTCCTTCACTGGTCATTTGCTTCACATGGACTTCTGCTGCCCAGAACACCGATGACATTTCTCTTTTCATTATTAGATAGTCACCCTTTCAAATGTTTCTCTCCCACCTATCAAACAAAGGAAGTTTGAAGAACAGCGAGTCCTCGATGTACAGCATCATGTGGTCGCGTGACCCTAATGGGGGGGGGGGTCGATCTTGCAGATTCACCACATTTTCCTACTCTCGGGTAAAAATAAGATCAAGACTGCAGTCCTTCCCTAGCCCATGTTCCAAACGGGACAATCTAGCAGAGAAGTTTGCATGTGGCCCACTTTGTGGAATAACTACTCTGGTCAAAATGGTTCCCAAAATAACAACTATTCTGACTCCAACTTTGTTTGCTATTACGCCATCCAGTGGTAAGTGTATGACTTTAAAGGCAATAATGACGGAAGAGAACCACGCGTATTGACTTCTAATAATTCCCATATATGAAATGGCGTGTGAATTCATGTTCTTTAGAATTAAATAGCAGAATGTATTTTTCATCCCACCTGTTTATTGTGTCACAGCAACTGGCCTCCAATATTTATTTTATTACACACATATTTTTATACAAATGCCTCCAAAAATAATGCTCAGAATAAAGGAAAAATGACGGACAGACCTTACAAAATGTCTTGGAACGCTTGCAAAATTGGTTTGAAAAGTCGCTAGTGCAGCTCAATTGCGAGAAATGCCAGGTCATCTGCTTACGGTCCAGTCGCAGAAAGGCGATTCCATTCGAGTATGACTAATTGATTGGAGGTCACCAACTCGGGCAAGTGAATGAACTACGGGAGCTAGGCGTATGTATGACGCTCAAAATCAAACTATAAAAGTAATGGGCTAACAACGCAGAGAAGGCTATGAGCATCCTAGGAGCGATCACAAGGTCCTTTCTCTTTTTCGATTAAGGGCTTTTTGGGCGAGTCTTCGGAACATTTGTTCGGCCGATGTTAGATTATTGCGTCTTGGCGTGGTGCACCTGGATGAAGAAAGATTACGCCGTGCTGGAGAAGGTCCAAAGAACGGCAACCAAGAAAGTCGGCAGCTTAGGAGGTCTACCATATGAAGGTCGACTAGAGAGGCTTAACCTTTCTCCTTTTCATTATAGGCAGTACAGAGGAGATATAAGCATGATATTTAAACTCGTCAGGGGAATAGACTGTGCCCTTCAGATGGCTGACTTCTTTGAATTCGCACATACGATACATCTACGAGTTCAGGCGTACAAACTGAAGAAAAATCATACCAAACTAGGATTTGAAAGGCTCTGCCTACCTCCATTATTTATATTGAATTATACTGAGTCATACCGACCGAATAATAGTAACCTACAGAAAGGTGGTGAATGTTCGCCTATGACACTCAGAACTCCCGTACTGAAAGCATGGTTTAAGAAGACGCTGAATGTTAATTTACAGGTCATATATATAATCGCTAAACAGTAAAACAAGATCCATGTGATCCTGTAAACGGCCAAACATGCGCATGAATAGTTACTGGTGCACGTCATGCAATAACCATGTGTGCTTCTTCCATCGCTATTTCAACTAGATTAGCATTGATAATGGCCTGAAACAGGGTAGAAATATAATGTGTACTGATAAACACATATTCGGATAATTTCGCCCGCGCGGTTTTCGCTTTTATCTAGTGGCGTGTGAGATAAATGTATTGCCTTTCTAAAAAAAACTAAGGTGCGCCTAGGGGAATTTATTGGCTATTTTCGTGCTTAACAGGATAGTGTCATAATCTGTTCCCAGAATAAACAATACCACCGTATCTCCTTTTGTTGCACCGCTATTTGCTTGCGCCAGGAAGGCACTATCTATACAAAATTAGTTTCGTGAAAGACAAAAAAACGATGTACGCTGATACAAGTTTGTAATAAGGTCGGCAGGAATTATCCTCTTAGGGCAGTATTTGCCGATGTTTCGTAAATAATACTTAACTGGTAATAATAATAAATTGTAAGTTTAAGGCACCAGGGGTCCCTTCATTGCAAACTGAGCGCTATCGTAAAAAGAGCCAAATACAAAATTAGTTATCACAGCTGCGCGTAAGAAACTATATGACAACAGGAATTAATAGTATGTTACGCGCGGTAAGATGATAAATTAGATCCGATTAACAACGAACTCTTTCATAAAAAATGGTCTGGGCAGTAAAAAAACCCTACATCGTTGGCTGAGTTTAAAAAACCAACTTTTTACAAAGAAAATGTAGGAGAATAAACTGCCTCAATAGGCAGCATTGTATGAAATGATGCAGTTAGATGGGATCCTGCTGTTAAGGGTTCGGGACGCTTATTGTCATGGGAAAATTAATATAGTGGTTAGTTAAGAAGGGGTCATTCGGGACAACAGGAATGCATCGAGGAGAAGACAATAGAAGATAACGGAACATCACCGAGATGCGACCCAGCAGACCCCAGAGTCCACCGACAAGTTGGCGACAACGTAAGAACACGCGATAACCATCAATAGACAGTTTAAGAAACTCCTCTGATGACAATGGAAGCAGAGTTAAAGGAGCCTCCATTAAAAAAGTGTGTAGGAGAAAAAATAATTGCTTAGGAACAGGCAGGATCTCTCCGACACGAGCAATATAAACATTTTCTGTGACTTTATGTCGGCAGTTTCAAATAGCACCTTGGAATGTGTGATAATGCAAAATATTAACTTCTACACTCCGGACCCCACCGCTCCTTACGTTCTGGCCAAGAGTAAAGCAAACGAAAAGACCGTTAAAAGATCAATCAACTAGTTTATTATCTGTGCACCTAAAAATCACAGGGATTTTCGAATAAGCATCTAAGATTTATCCTGCGCGCGACAAACAGAGGGAATCTTGCGCACTCAGCGAGTCAAACTCTGCAAAAGCTGTTCTCCAACTGTTCTGTCGTCGGTCCTTTTCTAAACGTGGTCACGAAAACCCGTTTTGCTGAATGAATAAAAGTCCTTGTTCTTTATGAGACTGACAAGGCTGAATTGTTTAACGCATTGCTTGCAATGCATCCTACGACGGAATCTGAACTGATCCCGTCGTTTCAGTCACGCTCAGTCAATATTAAGGATACCACTTATTTCTCTGTATTATTAATTCGTAATAACATTCTTCGTCTAAAAAGTCGCGCTCTTCGGGAATCGACGTTGTTCCATACTCAGTTATCAAGTGATCGCTGAGCTTCACCGATTGCTAAGTCATATATTCTCAGCCTATCTTTCAAACGGTTTCTTTCCTGACTCATGGAATACATCTTTTATTCTTCCAGTTTTCAAGTCAGGCTCTCGTTCGATTGTTAATTATTATCAAGGCGTTCACAAAACGCCGGCTCTAGCAAAACTCCTGGAAAAAGTATTTTTAACCACATTCTTGACTTTTGCATAGAAAATAAGCTATTGAACTCCTCATACCATGGTTACTACCCGGAAGATCACTTGGTTTTTCCTTATCTCGTCGCTTCACTTCGTAATTAGCATCAATCAGTGTTTGTCATCTACTTTGACCTTAGAAAAACGTTTGACAAGGTGCTGCACAGGCGTCTTATGGTGAAACTAGAAGCCCTCGGCATCCGGCCTTCTCTCCTCTATTTCATTGGTTCGTATCTCTCAAACCGCAGAAGAATGTCTTAGTAGGTTGAAACAACTCGACGCCTGAGCCGATCACGTTCCTCGAACTGTTTCCTTTCCTTGGTTGTTAACCATCATCAG